GTTTCAGTTGGCATTGGACTGCTACTGCAAATGACAAGCGAAGCAAGGATTTGAAGCACTCTAGTATTAGAGCTTCGCTATGTTCCAAAATCGATGAACAGACCTGCATTATGTCCCAATCTAGACGTCTCTGGCATTGAAACCGCGTATCTGCAGAGGGTCCTGTGAAGCAGAGGATTAATATCTGAGAAGACATTGTGTATCTCTTTTGCCTTGAGAACTGTACAACGACCACTACGAATGTTTGTGGAAGAACATGCGATCCTATCAACTTAGAATGGAACTACGTGGCCCTTGAGAGCTCTTAAGGGGTCTATTATCACATCGTCGTGAAAACTTCAGGACAACTCGGTTATCACTGAAAGTGCGAACACTCATATCTGATTCAAATTTGAAATTCAAACTTTGCTGTGACTGCACAAGATCATCACACCCCTACCTCGAGTCCTGGCTCTCCTACAACAATGTATAATCCACAGACTTTGAGTGGTTTGACCTAACTCAATTTCTACAGATATGATCGAACATTCTCCAACTGCATCCCTTGCACTGCGATCTCCAAAATCGTCAAGCTAGCCTTCAACAACCTCCACATCCATCCAACAGACAACCTTCAACCTGATAATATTGAACCTGCAATAGAAAACAATACAAGACACAATGGTTCAAACCCATAATCCAAAAGTAATTTTCATCAAATGTAGCAACTGATCCTTGTGGGTGTTGATTGAAAAGAAATAAGATTAACTGTAGGTTGATGGAAAGCACTTTCTGGAATCTGGAATGCATGCAATATTTCTCAAGATAGGCGACGTACCTATCGACGAGGTATAAATATGTGATAAGATTCTGCAGTGCTTTTCCCATGTTGTTCAATTCATGGAGCCTCGACATCTGCCAATGTAGAATATCAGTAAACCGAACAGTCGGGGTTTAATGCGGGTTCTGTGGGAGTGAATCCGATGCAACCATATCTACATGACTTCCTAATGATGTTGGTCACAGCTGGGCAAGTGACTTCCACACGTCTGTAGCAACTTAAACTCAACTATTACCTAGGTATGTAGTCAATTGAGAATCACAGAAGAATAACTGTCTCATGTTCTGTGGTAATTATCAACTAGAAGTGAAATTGGACGTAAGCAAACTTCTTGATAGTCTAGAGAATTTGTTTACATAATCTAATATATTTTCTGGAAGATCTTGTATAGTTAATACTTCTCTTCAGAGAGAGGGAACTAAGCAAATTTACAATAGTAATAGTTAGATGAGAACATACTTGGCTGCACCACAGAAACAAGGTATTTTCACTTCCTCCAGACTAAACTTGTAGTCATACGTCAGCTCCTCTCCTGGTACAATTCGTTGCTTCGAATATATCACGACCTTTTTTTGCCCTTCAACAGTTATAATCTTCGTGTAGCAGTTCGGCTGCACAAAAAAATAATGATGATTGAGGTACGCTAAGAGGCAGGCAGATTCAGTACAAGATTGTACTAATGGACCCGAAATCTCTTATGGTGGCTAGAGTAAATACTTACATCACAGGAGTGGTTTATGAACCGCGCTAAACCGCCACGGCGCGTTGCGTCCAGCTGAGAAGGCACGTGATCAAGCACAATAAAAGTGTTCAGCTGCTTTGATGATAATAGTGCATATCAATCTCAAGTTACCGCCATATGTATGATGGAATTAGAGGAAACTATGAACTAGATTGTAAAACACTGTTAATTTTCCACATCCACAAACCAACAAGCATTGCTCCACAAAAAGTGATGTCAACGTATTGCAATGTGAAGTTTGCTAAAACTGCAGACTGAACATAGCCTCACCAGATTGCTGCAGAGTAAGAAAGAAACAGAAAATTAATCTTGGGACTTAGAGTAGGGCATACGCGAAGGTAAGGAACAAGAATGAACAGGGTTTACCGTATGCTCGTCGTCAACGCGAAACATGTAACTACTGCCAATACCAATAGCCTCATACCGTTTTTCTCGAATATCTGTAACCTGTAATTACAAGGATGTTTATCAGTAACAAAAGTAACTTCTCTTTCAAAATTTATTAATACAACGAACATTATCTGCAAACCAGAAAATAGCGGTGCATTGTTTCTAATCTTGCTGGACGAACAAATAACCAAATAAAATAAATGAATCTTAATCCATCATATGCTGTTCAAACTACAGGATAGCAAGCGCAATGTAGCTTCTCTACTGTCTCATCCAAAGCAACAGGAGCTGGGTTAGTGTCAATGTGGTTAAAGTGTTTACTTGTGAAAAATAAGACCTGACGTGTGTAAATTGTAATCTCCTTCATCACTGGCATTCATTGACTCATAGCAGACTACACTATCGCTCCACAAATTAGCATCGCATTGACGCATACAGCACGTAGTTAACTAATTTTTTAAATTATTAGCAACAAACAGAAAGAACACACACCCTGTTCCTGATAACTTCTCCAACATACTCAATAACAAACTCTTCTGCATCGATTGGCTCCGCAGCAACCAAACCCCAGTCGTGGATCTTGCTTCGCTGAAACTTCAATTGTTTTTTGCGAGCCTGAGACATAATTTGAAACACTCACTTTCAGTGCAGCTCAGACGATAAGTAAGCTTTCAGGAGCTTTCTATGATAGAAAATAACATTCTAGGTGTAAGTAATCTTCATAGTCTGCTAGCTTTACCCAAAAAAATTCAGCTTTCTACTGACTTAAGTACACAGAAACTGCACATGATAGAGTGAAAACACATGAATTCTGTGCAAGTTGTAACTTAAGCTACCTTGAGCATGTTAAATCTCAGCAAATCAGAACCCTCAGCACCCACAGCTAGCTTTCGCATGTCAGCACGATTTTTGCGGGCAGCTTGTAGACCTGCAATGACAGTTGTAGTTGTACTATTGTTGACATTGGTTACATTCTTCTTCGTAGCTCTCTTCAACTTCTTTAAGTCTTGCTTCACTTCTTTCCTAATTGCTGCTTTCACCCTCCTTTGCAATCTTCGTTTCGCTCTGTCTCGAGCCCAAGTGCGCCAATCCCAACCAGTAATAGAGCATCGGGCACAACCCACTGAAGTTGGGACAGATAGTAACATATCAATGCTTGCTAAATCACCACCCTTTCCGATCTTCAATTCCGGCTTTTCTAAGCCATCAGATTCAGCCTCTTTTTTAGCGACCGATTTTGCTTTCTTCGATTTCATGCGTGAAACTGACTCCGGGACTCCAGATCCTGCGCAGCTTGATTTACTAAGGACGGTAGACTTGTTCGCATTTTCTGCCAGCACAGTCTTTCCATCTCTTCCAAACTTAATTTTTTTCGTCCTACCGACAGCTTTCTTGCCGCTTTGCATCACAGGTTGCTCAGGGCACGTTAGGTCACATTTTAGCTCTCTCTGTGTTTTATGTTCACCCTTGTGTTGAAAATTAGCAGTGCCTGCCTCCTCCATAATAAGATCACGCGTTTGGTCCCTTACAGTAGGCTCTTGCTCTTTCAAAACTGATAAATGGTCAGAGTCTAACGTGTCCAACATGGGTGTGACTTCAGATTTGGCAGCAAATTCATGCAATACCTCCTTCGAATAACGCCTGACACCCTCTTGCACACTAAGAGCAGGCTTCACAAGACTAAGTGGGGCTTCAGATATGTCCTGATTTTGGGCCGATGAGGGTATGTACCTCTTGACTGCTGCCTTCTTGACAACAGCAAAGTGGCCATCTATATCGAGGGGCATGTTCTGAACTAGACCCCCTAGGTCTTCATTCACAAGTTTGGGTGCATAGTCGATCTGCACACAGAGAGAACTCATCTCACCTGACCCTCTGGACTCAAGTAAATGACCGGCCATTTTTTTACTTTCTTTATCCGGCTGTGATGTTGGGTTGTTGACAACAGCCTCAGTCAAATTGCAATTGTTATTGGTAAAATGATTTCTAACTCCACTGTCATTGCGCCTCCTGGTTTCATTCTCACAAACGTCATTCGTTTCTTCGACTGGTACCGAGCCTGGCTTCTCAGTTTCTTCAACATCTATCGTTTTCCTTCTCTTCCTAACGTGAAAAACGTTTTCGTCGGATTCAACACTAACAAAATTGCAGGATTCACGCATAAACTTGTAACCCACGTCTTCACTCTCTGTTTCATGAGCTCTTTTCTCGATCAGGTTTCTCTTGGACTGTGACACATCCTCAGATTCAACTGTTAAGGCCTTACTCCTATTGTCACCCTTCTGCTTCAACTGACTCCGTAGAAGCTTCCGAAGCCTTTCTCTTTGAGACAGAACACATGGATTCTGTACACTGCTGTAAATTCCATCCTTTTCATGTATCCCTTTCTTTCTCGTCTTCTTCTTAACCTTCTTCACCATGTTTGGTGCAGGATCCTCTTTCATGTTCACCTTCACGATTGCTGCAACGTCCAGTCCTCTTGTGTCACCGACGAGTCTGGATCGATTGTCATGACCATCAACAGTTGAGTCACCTTGCTTCAATCTAAACTTCTCAGTCTCTTTGTAAAGTGGATCACTTTCTTCATCACCGAGTGAACTTTTCGAAGCTTTCCTCTTATGCTGAGCAAGAGTAGAGGTATGTTGATCCCCACTTGAGCAATCTGACTCCAGAACTATGACATGATTGTGTCCATTAGTGCTTTGACTATCAGAATCTTTGATATCGTCCTTTTCAAGCTTCTTATCCACTTGCTTCTCAGGTTCCTCAGGCATCTCGTCCACATGTTGCTCAAATGTCACAGGCTCATCAACAGATTCTTTTTCAAGTTTCTTAGAGATCTCATCCACATTCTTAGTTGTCTCAAAAAACCCGACCGAATTCTTCTCGGGTTTCTTAGGCCTCTTAGGCGTTTCCACCATATGATTTTTAAATTTCGCAGAAGTATCGTTCATATTCGTTTTAGACTTTGCAGTTGCCTCGTTCATATGCTTCATAGATTTCTCAAGCCTCTCAAAAATTTGCTTGCCAGGCTTCTCAGGCTTTTCCTTCGCTTGACTCTTAAGTTTCGGAGGCTTCTCACCCATGTGCTTCTTAGGTCTCTCATTCACTTCATTTTGGAGTCTCTCGTCCACTGGCTTCATCAATCTCTCAGATTTCTTGTCCACTTGCTTTGTTGGTGTATCAGTTTTCTCATTCACTAGATTCTTATGTTTCTTATGTTGACCAGGCTTTTCACTCAATAGCTTCTTAGGTTTATCTGATTTCTCATCTGCTTGCTTCTTGGAACGAACAGGCGAAGTGATATTATTCGCATGACTTGAAGACCAATCTGACTTGAGAAAACCGTACTCATCCCTGGTGTGACTCCTAGCATTTGGAACTTTGCGTACTTTCTTGAGAAACCTGGGGTTGACTCCCGCATTGCTCTTGGCGTCATGCTCAAGAGCTCCCACTTTAGATAAGAGAGAATCTGCCCTTCTTTCTTCTTTAGGTCGACATGGAAGCTCTACAAGAGAAGATATGTTCAATCCACACAAGCATTAACATGCTCATATACGTAACTGTTAATAGCAATACTCGGCGTATTTTCTAGCATATGCTAATTCGTACATTTTAGAGCCTTCAAACAAATTACAAGGATTCAACATGGTCCAACAAAAGAATGATCTTAAATTTTTTGCCGTTTGGCTTTAACAGAAAATAAATCAACAAACAAGGGGCAGTAGGAGAGTGGTACGTACGAGCAACATAACAACTGCGTTTCTCAAGAGAAACCATAGTTAGTGTCAAATTACACAAACACGTCAAGACGTGCACAACTATAAAACAAGAACTAAACAACACGGCCTCTGACATAAATGCAGGTGTAATGGCATGAAATTTCACATGTAGCTATGTGCAGCTTGAAAGTACCTGCCAACACGTGACAATCATCGATCTTCATAGAAGGAGAATAAACAAGCATAGCATTTGTCTCGTGAGCTCCTACAGGGCTTCCAGTCTGTCTTGACTGCAGAGATGAAACAAGTATCACAATGTGAAGGGGAAGCATAATCCGTTGGTAAGTAGATTGATATTCTATGTTGGTCATGAGCTTTGTCAACCTAGAAAGAAGCTGTTGATGACTTGCTTTAGACTCAAAAATAACCTCAACTCCATAATGTGTGAGAGGGTGATAAAATCACCTGTGCTGGTTGAATTTGGGTTGAAACCAAATCGTTGGAATCCGAAGAGACAGGTTTGTACTTCGAAGCTACATCGTAACCCTCAACGTCAGTAGAATCGTTAACACTCCCATACACGCCCGCGATTTTCTTTACACACTGTTTAGAAGGTAATGCTTGCCTTCCACTGAGATCCTGTAGTTGAGGATACAAGGTTATATAAAGACAATACCATGAGTATTGATACGCGCAGGAAGTGAAATCTTGACTTGCTGAGAATAGGAAACGACAATTAGTTGGTATACAAAGTACACTTACCACGTCAAACCCTGGTGGCACATCTGGACTTAGTGAAGAAGTTTCTAATCGTTGCTGGCCTTGCATAAATCCAGGTGGGCAATCGGGAACAGGAACTTCTGCGGTCTTCTCTATTTTCTTCGGAGCTCGTATCCACTCTTGCAAGAATTCTGCAATAGCCCCATCAATTAAGCTTCTGTGTGCCGCTTTCAACACCAGAGCGTGAAGTGATTTCCTGGCATGGTCTAATGTAATAGACCGTAGGTTAACCTGAGGATCAGATACAGAAACACTTGGTCCGCCGTCGGGTGTGGCGTTATTCTGATTATTTGAGGAAATATTCGAATAGAGAACTCCCTTATTTGCTAGTTCTAGTAACTGCCCGAGAGGCATAGGAGCCACAAGATTTCCACGATGACGGATCTACGAATACAACATATGCACAAACAAGTGGCGTCAATGCCATGTGCATACAAAAAGTCAGAAAATTCAGAAACGTCATGAAGGTTATACAAAAGCACCCAGACTCGAAAGAGTCTTTAACCGCGATAACCGCGATAAAACTAATGACTTGCACAGCATGAGCTAACCATTCCAGAAAACTACTAACCTTGGCGGTGAGTCTATTTATATTAAATAACTAGAATAAAAGGAGACATCAGAAAGTCAAGTCAATAACATATTCAGTCATTCTCCTGGTCAGCAAAGGATGAGCTTAAGTTGAAACACTGGAACAATAAACAACCTCGAGAGAAGAATACAGGTGCTCTGAATTGAGCCACTGCCCTAATTGCCAGAGGGAAAAAAGTCCTTGCATGGAACCATCCGCCCCTTGGTACTCCCAGCATTGTTCACCCCAAACCTGAAAACCACAGAATAAAACCTGAGTGACGATGCCGCTGAGAAAGAATGATAATTCCCCTGGACAAGTGAAAAAATTACGTCAATTCTGAAGTGACATCTAAGATGATGTGATGCACAACAAAATGCCTGTTACCGCAAAGAAGTAACTTTAATACTTTATTACGAACTAAAATGCTCCCCTGTAACAGGACTTAAATATTAGCTTAACATTGAGTATAATGCCGTGCACCCATTCCACTTAACACCGTCCAATATTGTTTTCCAGAGCAGGAACAATTCTGGTTAAATTCAAAGAGAACGTATTCCAACAAATAGCATGCGGAACAATCGCGATTAAAGCTACTGGACAATAACACTACATTATAGCCAAAGATAACATGCAAAACTTTTATCACAGATGTCCTTCGAAGAAATTTGTATACACTGCTTACAGTCCATGTCTAAACATCCAGATATACTGGCAAACCGCAAAAGTAGCAAGTTACGAAAGAGGAAATCCACCACCAAAGAAGAGCAGACAATAAGAGTAGAGGAATGCCCAAACCAGACGACCTGATCTTAGCTCAGGATTACTGCTTATCGAAAATTTCGGAACGAAAGCTTTGTAAATCAAACACAGACACCAGCAAGGTCACTCCCTTGTAAAATACCAAGTTGTGCCAAGTTAAACGACTAATAGAAGAACAAAAGCAAGTCCACACCTGGAAAACATCCTTTTTTCCTGTCATGCTGATGCCATCGTCAGAAGGTCCCAAAAGCAGTGCAGAACAGACCATATACTGAGGTAAGAATGTGCTCAGCTAGTTTACAATTCATGTGGAGCTGTTACCTGCTGAGGTGTAGGTTCTTGAAATCTTGAGTTGACACGTTGAGATGAAACAGTTGGCGTGCCAATAAGCACTTTCAATTCTTGAGATGTGGAATAGACACCGTCTTGACGATAATACACAACCAGTTCACCTGGTAAAAACTTCACATTAAATCCCTCGCGGAGAACCTCAAGAGAGAAAGGACCGCTGAGAGAATTATAAGCATTACAATAGAACCAACCATTCTCGTGATTGACACCAGCTGCCACTGCATTACTTTCACCCCGTTCCGAACGAACCGTCTCTTTACCAGAACTCGAGTTCACAGGGGTTGTAGCAGTAGATAAATTCTTGCTTTGGAGATTGTTCGAAATATAATCAGATCGTTCAGCACATGCGGAATCTTTAGATGAATTTCTGACGACAGAAGTATCCCCTTCAACCAGGGAATTTAAAACTCGTTGATAACCATCTCCCGAATGGGCAAGCTCCTGCAACTGGTTGTAATCATTTCCATTTTCGTGACGTCGACTCCTCAGGCCATCACCCGAACGAGCTCGATGATCAGATTCACCATGAAATCTAGTTTTGTTTCCATACTCGGAAGTCAGTTCAGAGCTGATTGGTACAGTCCTGCTCTCCATCCTCTCCTTCTCCGTGTCACGCAGACGTAATGAGTCCCCATCAAGGTGAGTTAGAGGTGTTTGATTATCATTGTTTCCACACAAAGCTCCACTCTCGTGTTTTGGATGTTTCATACTTGTATTGGAAGAAAGTACTTCGTCTTCCAAAGACCACCTATGCCTTCCTGCACCTCTGTCCTTCAAGAATTCAGTTGACGCGGGCCTAGATGTCCAACCCTGTTGACCTTTATGGGAGGACCGGTACAAGTCATGAGGCTGTTCTAGAACATGAAAAGAAAGATCCTCGGTGGCCATAAACCCACTAATTCAACAACCCAGAGACCAGAGCAAATGCGAGCAGCCGCGATGAAATGCGTCGTAAGAAACAAAGAGACGAAATATGTCCCTTGTGAGACGCAGTGTCTTTTGTGAGATGTTCATAGATCATTGAATTGAGAGGAAATTTACTTAGAGCCTCCAACAAGTGTCATCAGCGTCAAACCCTACTTTTGCACTGCATTGTTAAGAAGACAACTCAAAGAGCTCGACTAGATTCTTGATTGCCTTAGCACAGCTCAAATGAGTGAAGGAAAGAGAATCCCTCTATCTTAATAGTAACTCTTTTGCGCACGGATTACCACGGCTTTAAGTGATAAATAGAAAAGAATTGGCTTGTCGCGGCACTTTATGACTGGCTGTAAGTGTGAAGTTGACTAACTCTGTGCGAGCCCTCGTAAACATCAAAACTCGCGCCGCCCCCGCTGCTTCAACATATACGAAAAATCAACAAAGAGATACGTGTAAAAGGGTGCCGTAACCTATGTCACGAGTCCAACTAGATAAACATTTTGTGGCCAAAAGACTCAACAAATATACATCATATTAGGTATGTGTTCTTCCATATTTCTAACTTCGAGCTAAGCATTGATGATGCTTATCTTTTAAAATCATGGTAGAGGATATTTGCAAAAAAAAAAAAAAAAAAAAAACCAAAACCAAAACCAAAACCAAAATCAAAAGCTTAAATAATCACAAAATTTGAGAATTACAACTGGAAATTAATAAATATGAATCAATTAATCAAATAGGGTGAGCAGTAGTTAAAAAAACCTGAATGCATATTGTAATTCTTATTTAACAATATAAATTTAATGATTTTACATAAAGTGATTACAAGGTTTAAAATACATATCAAATTCTCAAAGGGTCACTTGGCCAAAATGATTTATATTGAGTGCACTTTTTATTGGTTGTTGCTTAGATAAGAGACAACTAAGAGAGCTAAGGTTATGTCACAACAACAATTTCTACAATTAGAACCCATGCAACCTCAAAATTCGTAGGTCTCTTCAATGATAAGTTTATTTTTGAAAAAAAAAACAAAAAACAACAACAACAACAACAACAACAACAACTCCATTTAAGATCTGGGGTCTGGATTTGACTAAACAAAAGTAAGTTTGAAAGTGGTGCAACTAGATCCACTATTGTTTACATTGATCAATTTTACAAGTCTCTTTATGAAGGATTTATTGCTTTGGCATGTCTAATGTGAACATTCTGTTGGAGAAAAATGCATAAGGGCCAATAATAGAAATGTTGTGAGATATAGCAGTCTATAAGTATAAAATTGCATGTCTTTTCAGCTAGAATTTATTTTAAATTATTTTAGGTAGCACAAAGCAAAAGAGAGTATACTAGAGTAAGAAAAATTAGTATACAATGAGATTCGGAAGAATGAATGAGTTGCAAATATAAAAATATATAAAAGATCAACACATGATTTAATGAATTATTACCAATATACTAATATTAGAAAAAATAAAAAAGAGAAAGGTTGTAAAATGTTGACCTTTCATAAAAATGACTCATTAGAAGCAACTTATGGATTGATTTTATTTTAGCTGTGCAATACTAATAATTAAAATCATGTAATGCGTTTTATGACTTTCCAAATATTTTTTTCTTGGATTGCTTGCTCTTCTTTATCATGGGCCTAACTTTTCTTAACATCTTCGAAATGTTTGTTTTTTCTAATGATCTTATGATTTAAAATATTAATCATATTAAAGATATTAAAAACAGTCTCATGTTTGTTTTTCATAATAATTTTTTTAACTTAAAGGTTGATAAATTATATATTTGGGAACAAATCATTCTCTTTAGGTGTAAGAATCAATGAAAATTACACTTACAAAATTATTGGAGAGATGTGGTCCTTTGTCTATATCACAGAGAGCACAATTGTGCTATCTGTAGCATTGTGCTTATTCTTATCTTCTCTTCTATTGTTTATTAGTGGTTAGCATATATAAAATTAAAATTAAAAATAAAACAAACAAACAAACGAAAATTTATTCAATGGCTTCTTTTTACATTTTAAAAAGAAATGAAATTTGCTATGTGATTTGATAGAAGAAAATGTGCTTACTAGGATAAAATGGCATTTGGTGATGTACCACATATCTCATATGTAATACCTAGTTCTTTAGAAATAATTTAATATTTCCAAGTTAAAATTTTAAGGAAAATCTTTTTATATAGATTATTTTGACATCAAGTCAATAGATAAACAGTTAGAAGTGAAAATCATAACATATAAATATAAAAATAATGAGTTTAGGGTTTTAGGTTTTGGATTTTAAATTTTTATTTTTATTTCTTACATTTTCAAATGCTATTAATCACTTTATTTACATATATCAGCTAACATTCATGGCATTCCTATCCGACTTGTGGATGTTTAGGATAAAAAAGTGTCTATTTACTGCACCTTATTGACACAGTATTGTGTCTTGGCTACAAAAGTCTATTCTTATGCATGGGAAGATGTTTTGCATAGTTTAAGTTGAATTTTTTGAAATACTTCTTTGAGGTGTTTTTGGATCTCATTGAAAAAAAAAAATTCTTAAGACACAGCCTATATATTAAAGAAGTGACTTAGAAAACAATTAGTGGATGTAGCGAGGCCAATATAATGACATTCTCATTTTGGTGTAATAAACTTTAAAATTATGTTTAATGCAATAGTGCTATACACAAATAATGTCTTAGTATGCATATCATATGCATAGAACATTGTATTCTTTTGAAGAATCTTTCTATAGTTTAAGTCATCGATACTTATAAAAAATATAAATAAACAATATTTAAACAAAAATGTATGGTACTAACATGTGCAAGTTGTCAAACAATTTACATAGACTTTATATAGATAAAAGAAAAAATTGCAATTCAACATGCTGTTGTATATGTTGTATATAATTAAAAGAATTAAAAAAAAAAAAAAAAAACTTTAATATCCTCTTCAGTTTGGTGTATTTTCATGAATTAAACAATTTTATTTTATGATTTAATAATAAAATTGTCAAAAAAGCTATTTTAGCTTTTAAATTAAGATAACATTCTTTTAATATTTTAAAAAAATCAGCTACTTCATTCTACTTAAATTTTTGTATAATGCTGGAAATATTTTAACAAGTTCGTAATATTTTAAAATCCATTTTATGATGATATTAATATTTATCTTCTATTCTTATTTAAACAATGCTAGGATTGTTTTGTTGATCAAAATCTTATCTAAAAATACAAATGATTAATGCATGCAATTTTTTTTTCAAATTAAAATTATTATTTTAAAAATAATTTATATATAGAATAAGTAAAAAATTCTTTTAGAATATCATGAAATTAAATACCATAACAATAACTTCATAAATAAACTTGATTAAAATTAATTTTTTATATTTAATATTAAAATATATATTGCTTACAAACATGTTTCGATTTTTTCTGCACTAACATTCAAAAAATATATGTTTTACTCGAATGTCTTATTAAAATATATTAATTAATTTGAATAATGAAACATGTTAAATCTTGGGCAATAATCATGGCAACCTTCCTTACAATGCTTTCAAACACATATATTTTAGAAATAAAAATTATATAAATCATTTCTATTTTTTATTTATTGTAAATTAATTAAGAACTCTAATATTAATTTTTACCGAAAATATGTATTTGTAATATATTTTCTTAAATTTATACTAATTAATTAATTTTTTATTTGAGCATTTATCTTTGTTATTGCGTCTTGTTTTTAAAGTTTAAAATGTATTATCATGCAGCAGATGATAAAATATTTGAGCTTATTTATGTAAAAATTATCGATATATATATATATATATATATATATGTAACCATTATAAAATACTTAAAAATGTAGTTAATATCTTTAAGTTGATGAGAAAATCAAAAAATATATTTAAAGGCAAACATGACCTTTTAATTTTAATAAATTAATTAAAAAGATCTTTAATTATTTTAGTATTAAAATGATTTAAGCATCAATATTTTATGTGAATTATTTACTAATGTATTCCACGTTCAACAGTAATTTTTACGTAAGTTTTATATTTTAAATTATGTGCAAACAATTAATGCAATTAGATTTTCAGAGAAAGTATTTTGGATGATTGGTTTTTTAATTAGTGAAATAGGATGTTTTTTTCTTCTAAATTTCATGTAGTAATAATTTTTAAAATAAATTTAGCATAAAGCTCTAATTAGAATAAATGTTATGATTGAGTGATAATCTTCATTGTCTTTGTTTTTACCATTTGTTCAGTAAAAGGAAGAATATCTTTGGAAATGCAGTGCATTGTCAGAGCAGTTCAGAAGAGTACGTGTCATGGCTAGATTTGCAGGGATTTGCAGGGATTTGCAGGGATTTGCAGGGCGAGCGAAAAATTGGAGGCGGCGATAGAGGCGAGATGGAATAACTGGGGCACGGAAATAAGGAAACAAGGAGAGAGAGAGAGAGTGAGGTGTCAGGGGGTAGTAGTAGAGTTATTAGGGTTGGGGGAATTAGGGGGGGGGATAGAGCAGCGTGCAATTCCGTGGGAGGGGCGCCTGGCACCCACCACCGCATGCCCTCCCCGCCCTTGCCTTTGGCTTTGCGATGCGTTGCCAGGCCAAGGCTATGGCGGTGCTGCCCCTACTCCCCCCTCCTCACCCCTTCTCTGCGGCCGACGTATGATGCCTTCATGCCCAAGCGATGGTCTCCCCCTATAAGAGCCCACCTTCGTTGTCTTCTTCTAGTTTAGGAACTCGAAGGAGCTCCCCCTCCTTAATGTAGGGAGCGGTAGCCCTGTTCTTCAGAAACCCTCTTTGGTCGCATAGGATTTCGGCTTTCCTCACGGACTTAAGCTTAAAGAGGTTTACACCGCAAGGTGGGATCTTCTTCAAGAAGAACGTTATCGAGAAATTGAAGCGAAGCATTTTGTTTTGCATAGTTTATTCGAAGAACGAGGTTTTAAAAAGTTGGTGCGGAGCTGAGGGGGACGCTGTCATGATGGATCCTCAGGCGCCACCTACGGCTCCACAGCAAACGGCTGCTTCAGCTGCAGCTGATGCCGAGGCGCATTTGGAAGAGAAGGCTAGGAAGTGGCATCAATTGAATAGCAAGCGGTATGGGGAGAAGCGGAAGTTTGGTTTTGTTGAGACGCAAAAAGAAGACATGCCTCCCGAGCATGTTCGCAAAATTATCAGGTATGATGGCACTTTAGTTAGGGCTCCTGGGTTTCGACGAATCAGAGGTTTAAGCAATAATGATTCCACCCGCTTGATTGTATGAGCGATTAATGCCCTTTTTTCGAGGTAGTGTAGTTGATGTCTTTGCGGTCAGGTTTTAATCACTTAAATTTGTTGTCGAGTTGAATCCTTGGGCGAAGGAGCTGGTCGTTTCTTCAATTCTTCATCATTTGCCTATTTGATACTTTGGAGAGGCGTTGTTTGTTATTTTGGTATACGCCCGGTGACCTATATTTTTATCTTATGCTCGAATCAGTTTGCCGCTCAAGTTTGTGTGCTCTCCTGGGTTGAGAACCGTGCTTTCAAGTTTTATTTAAAATTGAAAGGTTAAACAATTAGGTGGATTCACATGTGTTTATTTATTTACATCAAGGTGGGTGTGTGTACACCGTCCTAACTTTTGTTTTGCAACCTATCGATGGGGATTTCGCGTGATCACAGGGACCATGGTGACATGTCCTCGAAGAAGTATCGCCATGATAAGCGGGTATATCTAGGGGCCTTGAAGTTCGTGCCTCATGCTGTGTATAAGCTGTTGGAGAACATGCCAATGCCATGGGAGCAGGTTCGAGATGTGAGGGTGCTCTATCATATCACTGGTGCTATAACATTTGTTGACGAGATCCCGTGGGTGGTTGAGCCTATTTTCCTAGCTCAGGTGAGAGCTTCGTTCGAGCTGTTCTATCGTCCACTTTCTGCGAGTGGCTGCCTTATTACCAGTTTGTATTTGGACAGTATCTATAGTATGTCCTTTAGAGAGCGTCTAGTTTTATTTTGCCAATGTAATAACACAACAATGCTAGTTATCATTTTTTTGTTTCTGGTTAGATATTAACAATTTTTAGAATGTCCTTGACTTGTTGTGGACATGCATGCTTGGAGATAATTTTTTTAACTGACGGGTTTTTCTGCATTTACAGTGGGGTACTATGTGGATCATGATGAGACGAGAGAAAAGAGACAGACGTCATTTCAAGCGTATGCGTTTTCCCCCTTTCGATGATGAGGAGCCCCCCTTGGATTATGCCGACAACCTGTTGGATGTTGACCCGTTGGAACCTATTCAGCTAGAGCTTGACGAAGAAGAAGACGCTGCTGTGTATGAGTGGTTCTATGATTATAAACCTCTCGTTAAGACGAAGCTAATCAATGGACCCAGTTACAGGCGCTGGCATCTTTCGTTGCCTATCATGGCCGCTCTTCACCGTCTTGCTGGGCAGTTGCTGAGTGATTTGATTGATAGAAACTATTTCTATCTTTTTGATATGGAATCGTTTTTCACCGCCAAAGCACTCAACCTTTGTATTCCAGGAGGTCCCAAGTTTGAGCCTTTATACCGGGATATGGAGAAGGGAGACGAAGATTGGAACGAGTTTAATGACATCAACAAGCTCATTATTCGCTCTCCATTGCGTACGGAATACAGGATTGCGTTTCCGCATTTGTATAATAATCGTCCTCGCAAAGTGAAGCTTTGCGTGTATCACACTCCCATGGTTATGTACATCAAGTCAGAAGATCCAGATTTGCCAGCCTTTTATTTTGATCCTTTGATCCATCCAATTGCTTTTTACAAAACGGACAAGCGTGGTGAGAAGAAGGGATTTCAGGAAGAAGAAGATGAAGATGACTTCGTTTTGCCAGAAGGTGTTGAGCCTTTGCTTCAGGATGTACCACAGTACACTGACACAACGGCTGCCGGAATTGCTTTGTTGTTTGCTCCCCGCCCCTTTAATATGCGGTCAGGTCGGATGAGACGCGCGGAGGATATCCCTCTGGTCTCTGATTGGTACAAGGAGCACTGTCCTCCAACCTATCCAGTGAAGGTTCGTGTGAGTTATCAGAAGCTTTTGAAGTGTTATGTGCTGAATGAGCTGCATCATCGGCCACCAAAGGGCCAGAAGAAGAAATATTTGTTCCGCTCATTGCGTGCAACGAAGTTCTTCCAGACAACAGAACTGGACTGGGCTGAAGCAGGTTTACAGGTATGCAAGCAAGGATACAATATGTTGAATCTTCTGATTCACAGAAAGAACCTAAATTATCTACATTTGGATTACAACTTCAATCTCAAACCTGTGAAGACTCTTACTACTAAAGAGAGGAAAAAGTCTCGATTTGGGAATGCTTTTCATCTTTGTCGAGAGATTTTACGACTCACTAAGCTGGTTGTGGACGCAAACATCCAATTTCGGCTCGGGAATGTTGATGCTTACCAACTTGCAGATGGTCTACAATATACATTCTCACATGTTGGTCAACTGACCGGCATGTATCGTTACAAATATAGGCTTATGAGGCAGATCCGAATGTGCAAAGATTTAAAGCATTTGATCTATTATCGGTTCAACACCGGTCCCGTTGGAAAGGGTCCTGGCTGCGGATTTTGGGCACCTATGTGGCGTGTGTGGTTGTTCTTCCTTCGAGGGGTTGTTCCTCTATTGGAAAGATGGTTGGGCAATCTTCTTGCACGACAATTTGAGGGTCGTCACTCTAAGGGAGTTGCCAAGACTGTCACCAAGCAGCGGGTGGAGAGTCACTTTGATTTGGAGCTCAGGGCAGCAGTCATGCATGATGTCCTTGATGCCATGCCAGAAGGTATCAAGCAGAATAAGGCCCGTACCATTCTTCAGCATCTGAGTGAAGCTTGGCGTTGCTGGAAGGCTAATATTCCATGGAAAGTCCCTGGGCTTCCAGTGCCAATTGAGAACATGATTTTGCGGTATGTGAAGTCGAAGGCTGATTGGTGGACTAATGTCGCTCATTACAATCGGGAGCGTATTCGGCGGGGTGCCACAGTAGATAAAACCGTTTGCCGGAAGAATCTTGGGCGTCTAACTCGTCTTTGGCTGAAGGCAGAACAAGAACGTCAGCACAATTATCTGAAGGATGGGCCTTATGTCACTCCCGAGGAAGCTGTGGCTATTTACACCACAACGGTACATTGGTTGGAATCTCGCAAGTTTTCACCCATTCCTTTTCCTCCCCTCTCATACAAGCATGACACCAAGCTTCTCATCCTTGCCTTGGAGCGTCTTAAGGAGTCGTATAGTGTGGCAGTCCGTCTAAATCAGCAGCAAAGAGAGGAGCTTGGGCTAATTGAGCAAGCTTATGATAACCCACACGAGGCATTATCTCGTATCAAGCGGCATTTGCTTACACAAAGAGCCTTCAAGGAGGTCGGAATCGAGTTCATGGATCTCTACAGCCATCTTATTCCTGTATATGAGATCGAACCTTTGGAGAAGATCACTGACGCTTATCTTGATCAGTATTTATGGTATGAAGGAGACAAGAGACATTTGTTCCCTAATTGGATCAAGCCTGCTGACTCGGAACCTCCTCCATTACTTGTCTACAAGTGGTGTCAAGGTATCAACAATCTGCAGGATATATGGGACACCAGTGAAGGACAATGTGTTGTTATGCTGCAGACTAAGTTCGAAAAGTTCTTCGACAAAATTGATTTGACCATGCTGAATAGGCTTCTACGATTGGTTCTTGATCATAACATTGCTGACTATGTGACTGCAAAGAACAACGTTGTTCTATCCTACAAAGATATGAGTCACACGAATTCTTATGGGCTGCTTCAGGGGCTTCAGTTTGCATCATTTGTAGTCCAGTATTATGGGCTGGTGCTTGACTTACTGGTTTTGGGTCTTACACGTGCTAGTGAAATAGCGGGACCTCCGCAAATGCCGAATGAGTTTATCACTTTCTGGGATGTGAAGGTGGAGACTCGTCATCCCATCCGCCTCTACTCACGGTATATCGACAAGGTTCACATACTCTTCCGTTTCACTCACGAAGAAGCCAGGGATCTCATTCAACGTTATCTGACAGAGCATCCAGATCCCAACAATGAAAACATTGTAGGTTACAACAACAAGAAGTGTTGGCCTAGGGATGCTCGTATGCGGCTCATGAAGCACGATGTTAATCTCGGAAGAAGTGTATTCTGGGATATAAAGAACCGACTTCCTCGGAGCATAACCACTTTGGAGTGGGAGAATTCGTTTGTTTCCGTTTACAGCAAGGATAACCCGAATCTGCTGTTCAGCATGTGTGGGTTTGAAGTACGCATTTTACCAAAAATCCGTATGACTCAAGAAGCTTTCGGCAGCAAGGATGGAGTATGGAACTTGCAGAACGAGCAAACCAAGGAGCGGACTGCTATGGCTTATCTTCGAGTGGACGATGAACACCTGAAAGTCTTTGAGAATCGTGTCCGGCAGATTCTTATGTCATCTGGTTCTACGACTTTCACTAAAATTGTAAACAAGTGGAACACTGCCCTCATTGGTTTAATGACCTATTTCAGGGAAGCGACAGTTCATACTCAAGAGCTTCTTGATCTTCTGGTAAAGTGTGAAAACAAGATACAGACTCGTATCAAAATTGGACTGAATTCCAAAATGCCCAGTAGGTTCCCTCCTGTGATTTTTTATACGCCCAAGGAGATTGGTGGTCTTGGTATGCTGTCAATGGGACATATTTTAATTCCCCAGAGTGACTTGAGATACAGTCAGCAGACAGACGTCGGAGTTACTCACTTCCGAAGTGGTATGAGTCATGAAGATGAGCAACTGATTCCCAATCTTTACCGCTATATTCAGCCGTGGGAAAGTGAGTTCATTGACTCACAGCGTGTGTGGGCAGAGTATGCTCTGAAGAGACAGGAAGCTCAGGCTCAGAACAGGAGGTTGACTTTGGAGGATCTTGAAGATTCTTGGGACAGGGGTATACCTCGTATTAACACGTTGTTTCAGAAGGACCGTCATACTCTGGCCTATGACAAGGGTTGGCGTGTGCGTACTGACTTCAAGCAATACCAAGTATTGAAGCAGAATCCTTTCTGGTGGACTCATCAGCGGCACGATGGTAAGTTGTGGAACTTAAACAATTACCGTACTGATGTTATCCAGGCTCTTGGAGGAGTGGAAGGTATTTTGGAGCATACTCTGTTCAAGGGGACATATTTCCCTACATGGGAAGGTCTTTTTTGGGAAAAGGCATCAGGTTTTGAGGAATCCATGAAATATAAGAAGCTAACAAACGCTCAGCGTTCTGGTTTGAACCAAATTCCAAACCGTCGTTTTACACTTTGGTGGTCCCCGACCATTAATCGAGCCAATGTGTATGTTGGTTTCCAAGTGCAGCTTGATCTTACAGGTATTTTCATGCATGGGAAGATTCCTACTCTGAAGATTTCTCTCATTCAGATCTTTAGAGCGCATTTGTGGCAGAAGGTGCACGAGAGTGTGGTAATGGACCTTTGCCAGGTCCTCGACCAGGAGCTTGATGCTTTGGAGATCGAAACAGTACAAAAGGAAACTATTCATCCGCGTAAGAGTTACAAGATGAACAGTTCTTGTGCTGATATTCTTTTGTTTGCTGCTTACAAGTGGCCTATGAGCAAGCCAAGTCTCGTTGCAGAACCGAAGGATGTTTTTGACCAGAAAGCAAGCAACAAATACTGGATCGATGTGCAATTACGGTGGGGTGACTATGATTCTCATGATATCGAACGGTATACCCGGGCTAAATTCTTGGATTATACTACTGATAACATGTCAATATATCCGGCTCCTACAGGGGTGATGATCGGGCTGGACTTGGCGTACAATCTGCACGCTGCGTTTGGAAATTGGTTTCCTGGTTCCAAGCCGCTATTTGCTCAGGCTATCAACAAGATTATGAAGGCTAATCCAGCACTCTATGTGTTGAGGGAGCGTGTAAGAAAAGGATTGCAGTTGTATTCATCTGAGCCCACTGAGCCTTATTTGTCATCCCAGAATTACGGAGAACTTTTCAGCAACCAGATCATCTGGTTTGTTGATGATACTAATGTCTATCGAGTAACCATTCACAAGACATTTGAAGGAAATTTAACCACGAAGCCCATCAACGGTGCCATTTTCATCTTCAACCCAAGAACAGGGCAGCTGTTTTTGAAGGTCATTCATACCAGCGTTTGGGCAGGACAGAAACGTCTGGGACAATTAGCTAAGTGGAAGACTGCTGAAGAAGTGGCTGCCTTGGTACGTTCTCTGCCAGTCGAAGAACAACCCAAGCAGATTATTGTGACACGGAAGGGAATGCTTGATCCTCTGGAGGTTCATCTTCTTGATTTCCCGAATATCGTCATCAAGGGTAGTGAGTTGCAGTTGCCATTCCAAGCTTGTTTGAAGATTGAGAAGTTTGGCGATTTGATATTGAAAGCAACGGAGCCACAAATGGTTTTGTTCAACATCTATGATGACTGGCTGAAGACCATTTCGTCTTATACTGCGTTCTCGAGGCTCATCCTAATTCTTAGGGCTCTTCATGTTAACAATGAAAAGGCTAAGATGTTACTGAAGCCTGACAAGACAGTAGTGACAGAGCCACACCACATTTGGCCTAATCTCAGTGATGATCAGTGGATGAAGGTCGAAGTTGCTTTGAGGGATCTAATATTGTCGGACTATGCGAAGAAGAACAACGTTAATACATCCGCGTTGACACAGTCGGAGATTCGGGACATTATCTTGGGCGCTGAGATTACTCCTCCTTCGCAACAACGGCAACAGATTGCAGAAATTGAGAAGCAGGTTAGTAATATGTTCCTTGGTAATATTGTTTTTCTTGGTAATTAATGGATTTTTTACATTGCAGAACCTATTTCGGTAGAATAACTTGAACTGCTCTTTGTAGTGGAAGAAGTTGTGTGACAATCCATTATTTTTCATGCTCGTGTTCACAGGCGAAGGAGGCTAGTCAATTGACTGCAGTTACAACAAAGACAACGAATGTTCACGGAGACGATTTGATTGTAACAACAACCAGTCCGTATGAACAAGCTGCTTTTGGTTCCAAGACGGATTGGAGGGTGAGAGCTATTTCTGCTACCAATCTCCATCTGCGTGTCAACCACATTTATGTGAACTCGGATGATATCAAAGAGTCGGGATATACGTACATTATGCCGAAGAACGTTTTGAAGAAGTTTATTTGTATCGCCGATTTGAGGACACAAATCGCGGGGTATCTGTATGGAGTGAGTCCTCCTGATAATCCGCAGGTGAAAGAGATTCGGTGCATTGTGATGCCGCCTCAGTGGGGTACACATCAACAGGTTCACCTCCCTGCTAATCTGCCTGAACATGAGTTCTTGAATGAGCTTGAGCCTCTTGGTTGGCTTCATACTCAACCGAACGAGCTCCCGCAGCTCTCACCTCAGGACTTGACAAGTCATGCCCGCGTGCTGGAGAATAACAAGCAATGGGATGGTGAAAAGTGCATCATTCTAACTTGCAGCTTTACTCCTGGTTCGTGCTCATTGACAGCTTACAAGCTTACACCCACTGGTTATGAATGGGGTCGGGCTAATAAGGACAGTGGTAGCAACCCCCATGGTTACTTACCCACTCATTACGAGAAAGTACAGATGCTTTTGAGTGACCGATTCCTTGGCTTCTACATGGTAAGTTATCTTCGCTTTAGTACCTTTGGGTTTGTTATTGAATGGTAAAAAACTTTAGGTCTTGGTGTTGGCCAATGTATTTTTTGTGTCTCAATTGGTTTGGCACAGGCAGCACCATATTTTCTTTAGATGCTCTTTTCTTATTTCCTTTGGTGTTGATTAAACAGGTTCCAGATAACGGTCCATGGAATTACAATTTCATGGGTGTGAAACACTCCGTCGGCATGAAGTATGGAATTAAACTTTCGATTCCAAGAGAATTTTATCATGAAGATCATAGGCCAACGCACTTTTTGGAGTTCAGCAATTTGGAGGACAATGATGCTGCAGAGGGAGATCGTGAAGACGTGTTTACTTAGAACAGTTTCAGTAGTTTCCGACGTCTCATTTCATCTCGGGGTTTTGTCCTAGTACAGCAAGCTGCTTTCGTATAATACAGACACTTGCTTTTCTTAGTCGAGCGAAAGATGAGTCAGTTAAGAAGTAACTGTGCATCTCTGTAGGATCTTGATGAATCTTCTCTGCTGCGTGATTTTTCAGGCGAGTTCTGTGAACCAGATTTGTTGATACAAGTTTACCACATTTAAGCTCAGTGCTTGGATGTGTAGTTATCGCAATTGAGATCCATTCAGCATCCTGAACACGGGAATAGACGATTTTGTTGGGACAGGTCAGGGCAATGGAAACTAAGCATAGATGTTCGCACTTTTGTAAAGATAGTAACGAAGAATTTTCCTTCCCTACCGCCATCGCTAATCAGAAAACAAGGCTAAATGTGCAGTTTACACTTGATTGAATGTTTACTGTACAGAATTATATTGTAATGGATGAGAAACAGTTATCATATTTACTATTTGGATATAATATCATGTTTAAAATTGAACTTTTTATGGAATACGTATTTGACTATATCTTATCTTTTTCAGGTTGTTAACAATTGACTGCACATAAATGTTTCTGCACATAAAGGTGTTTCTGCACATAACGGATTAGGAATTTGTTCTTTCATTAGTTGGTCTGACATAGTTAAATGATATCATCTGATTGTGCATAAGAATAGACAGTTTGGGGTTTTTCAAGTAGCAGTTGTTAGCCTGATGTTGTGTTTTTCCGTGTTCGACTTTCACGATTCTATATGCAGTATTTGAGTGAAGTAATGCGTTGACAGGTATGTACAAACATTTTGCGCAGAACTGTCAGTTGTGCACTTCCATTTGCGCAGGACAGTTACTACGAGTATCCACAATGGTATTGAAAATCAGTGCCTAGGCATATATCAAATCTGGGCTGTTTAGACAAGGTCATAATGTACATATTGAATGTGGATATTTGTGAAACCCTACCTTTGTTGCTACAAAAAAGCTAGATATACAACTACTCCTAGGAATGGTTGTAACCAAGGTCAGAAGATAATGTCGGACGCACAACATCCACATGGACTTAATGCTGACCTACGAGAGTGTGGCACAGTGCACCTTGAGGTGAACTTTCTACCACCCATCATCCACAGGGGTAACCAATTTAACCTAAATGAGTACATACCCACAAGAGAGACTTAGCCCTCCCAACATTGCACAAGTGGGCAGTCAGATACCTCTCAACACACTTCTTGCAACGTCTGAGGTGTGCGGAGGTCCACCGATCTAACCTCATCAGCGGGTGCCAAGTCCATAGGAGTATCCAAGGAAGCGTGAGCATGTACAATGTTCTCATCAGTTTGCATGATATCCACTGCCGCAGGTGGAGTACTGTGCACATCCGATACGTTTTCGTACGTGTGAAGGGTGCTGATTGCTGCAGGTTCAGAAATGTATGAATCGGTAATCCTTTCAGATTCGATATGGTTCAGGACTGGGGCTGGAGAATTAAAAACGATAGGAAACTTGGTGACTCGCGGTTTATCAGCAAGGATGTTACGCTGCACCTTCTCAATCAGGACCCTCGCCGGAGGCTCTTCACGTAGAGCTTCCTCCACGTAATCGTTGCTTACGTAGTACCCAACCCTTATGAACTCTTGTCCTTGATATGAGCACGTCAATAGAAGCACGGTCACTCCGATGGTATCCTCCTCTGGGATCTTTGAAAGCTCTGGAGGATCTGCCTGTGAAGGAAACAGCTTAACTTAGTACACGTTTATCATATTCAGGTCAAGCAATCGGCGGGAGCACGACTAAAGCCACACAGACCTAAACAGCCCAGCTTTGCACCTCTCTCCCATGTTGGGTGCGATCAAAACATTGAACAGAGTAGGAAAACTCTGAAACGCAGTTTCTTCGAGCAAAGCAGCAGCACGATTATGGCAGTGGAAAAGGAGAAGATTAACACCTGAAATACGAATCTATAGTTACCAATGTTCACGGGGCCAACGAGGACACTCTCAAGAACTTGATCATATTTTTCATCCTCAGCTGACCCGACGTAGATGAGCTTCCATTCGAGATCTGCAACAACTCCACGAATTAGCCCCGAGAAATCCTTGGGCATCAAGTCAGAACAAATGTTGGAAACAACGCAGAGTACTAAGGTGGCGAGAGACTTACCGTCTTGAAGGGGACAGAGACACTCGTACGAAATTTCGAATTGAAACGGATTCATGAACATCGACGGATTGTCCAGCACAGTAACGTTGGTAACATTCACCGCAGTCATGGTGGTGCTCCGAAGTACGCCTCCCACCACGATTCAGAAATTCCACCAGAGAACCTCCTCACAACCCTACTTACTTCGACGAATCGCTGAACAAATTTTGAATCACTTAATGCTGCTCCTCGTTAAAGACTTGGCACTTCGCGAAAAAAGGAGAAACTAAGGCACACATCAGATAGAAGTAACCAGTGGGGCGAGGAGAGACAGCAGATGGAGTGCTCGCTGCAGCAGAAGCAATGGCTAAGAGAGAAAGTTATGGCCTCACTCCCGCGCCACCTTCAGCTTTTGGGTGCTCGCCGGACCGCGGGAAGGGACCCTTTCGAATCGGTTGGCAGGTCATGAGAAGAGGGAGGTACTGGGAAAAGGAAAGGCACTGGACCGGGAGCTAGCCAGGTATCATTTGGGTAAGGGACCGGGAAGTGGAGTTAGTAGGCGGGTACCAGGCATATTTCAGGGGCCAGGGCTGAAGGATGGAGGGGGGGGAGGGGGGGGGGGTGATTAGAGCGCGGGAGCCAGTCGCGGGAAATCGTAACGTTCAAATGGATGCGGCAGGTACTGTCCAGTCCAGATGTGACCCGATGCACGGCGGGCAGGAAAAAACTCCAGGTTTGGCTTTGTGGTTATTCATTCACCAAGTCGGGGATCAGCAGCATATGAGATGAATAATAGCCTCGCCCTCAAATCATTGTTTGGTGAATTCGGGGTTCTTGCCCTTCCGCGTGTCTGTTTTGAGGATCCAATGGATTATCGTGGATACTTCTTTTATTTACATCAACCCTAAATGCAAAAAAAAGGGTGTATTTCTTTTTTTGTCTGTTTTTCTTTTCCTTTCCCCACCTTATGTGAAACATTGTAGTGACTTCGCTTATGTAAATTGGATTTACAAGCAACTTTGGATGCATTGTACAGTTATATATTTTTTTTCTAAAAATTTATTACATATAAAAAGCTCTTACAAAAATATTCCATAATTTTAATATTTATCTTGCAAACCTTGTAATTATTAATAAGTTTTCATTTTCATTTTTTGTTAAGAAAAATTCTAATAAAGAAAGAGATGTTTAGAGGTGTGTTTTTACCAATCCAAATGGCCATTCATCAATCTTAACAAGCAAAGTTAATATAAACTTTAATTTTGAATTTTTGTTTTTTAGAATTTGTTATTTTGTTGCACTACTTTAGAATATATTCTTCACACAAAGGCTTGTAATGGTGATGGTAAAGATCATAGGAGTTGTAAAACCAAATGATATAAAAGATAACACAATAGAAGTAGAATGTAGTATATACTTAAATTATTATATTTATAATACCTAATTGGATTTAAAATACATTTTTGATATGTAAAGTCAATAGATAAAAATATAAGTGGTAATATGATTAAATATACTTAAAATATTGAATTATTAATTAATTTCTTTTTTTATACTAATAACAATATTTTATTTATATATTTTGATGAAATTATATATTTTTTAAATCTATAAATATATATGTATATATATATATTATTTTTAGAAAATTATTAAAGCCACGCCCTTCTTTGCCATCTTTATAATTGATTTTATCCATCCCTCCCTTTGTCTTCTTTATTTTGTTCCTAGTCCCATATCCATGTTTTACTCTCTTATTTTTTGTCTTCTATCTCTTATCTCCTCTTCTCCCTCTCTTCTCATCTTCGTTTCCCTCCTTCATTTCCATTCCCATTTTGGAACTTGATTCTCATTAGTATTTCAACAAATTAGTGGTTTGTTTCTCTAATATTAATTGGTGGTTTCTAATTTGTGCCTATATTAGCCAAATGCCAAGGACATGAATCTTGAAGGAAGAAATCTTGAATACACTATTGAGACATTGAAAAGAATTAAAAAATCACTTTAAAATTTTTGAAATGAAATTATTAGCCAAGTTCTCATCAATATGTTCCTTGAATGCAATCAACTTATTTTGTGATAGGCTATAGATTGGTCCAAATGGTGGTTGAGCTCCTTCATAAAGATTGATGGAACAATCATAAGGACAATACTTTAGAAGAATATCTATATTTTTTTTTCAAAAACATCCTAGAAATATTGATACTAGCTAGAAATACAACTTGACATCTTTTTACTATTAAAAATATTTGTCGCATATAAAGAAAAAGTTAATCCTTCTTTTACAGCATGTATAAAAGCTTTTGCACATATTAGTAAGAGTTTGGATATATTAGGCTTATGTATTTCTAATTAACTAATAAGATTTTGGATTAAATTATAAAAAAAATTAAGGTTATAAAAAATCCAATATATATGAAGATTATACTTTTTTAACCAAGATAATTCTAAAATAATAAAATTAGATGGAGATCGTATTGTATTAAATAATACTATATTATTATAATCTTTAATTACTACATGTAAAGAAACAGTCTTATAGATAACATCTTTAGAAGATAACAAACGATCATCTATGTCTTCTAAATGTAAAAGTTTTGTTTTTGTGACTAATGATATCTCTTGTTTTTTGACAAAATCTTCTTCTATAAAACATGTTGAGGCTCTTGAATCTAATAAAACTAAGACTTTGTGATTTTTTGGTCCTAAATAAACTTCTCTATTATAAAATAAGGTGAAAGATTTGATGAGAGAATAAGACTTTTATTAGAAGTTACACAAGATTCTAGCCACACAGTATTTATTATAGTTGGAAAAACTTTTTTTTATTACATTGTCTTCTTTGGCAACCATGCTTCTTGTTTTGTAGTTGTATTGTTTTTTTGGACAATATTGAATAGTATGTTTAGATTCTCTTTAATATAAGCATAAATCTTCTTGACATTGTCGAGTCTTTTTTACTCAGTGAAATATTTAAAACGTATTACATTAATTTGCATTGGTTTTGGCCTTGATAAATGTATTTCTCAAAACTTGAGAACTACCATCATAATTTGATTTGTTTCTCTCTAGCCAAGTCTTTATTCTTCATATCTTTTAAATAATCAATTTTTGCATATAATGGCTTGAGTAATAAATTGTTGTAAATTTTTTATCTTTGACATTATCAGTAATAAATCTTTGATATTATCCTTCAATCCATATTGAAATTGATTGATAAGGACTTTGTCATTCCATGTCGCAAGCTAGGTTTTGGAATTCAGCAGCATATATGGTAATTGACTGTGATCCTTATTGCAAAGATAAGAACTTTGTCCCTACTACTCTTTCTTGATCACTTTCTTTGAATGTGGTCGTAAACACTTTTAGGAATGAATTCAAATTATAAAAGAATTATGAATCTTTTTTCATTAAAGGTGCAAATTATAAGAGAGCACTTCCAAATAGAAGTCCACATATAAATCCGACTAGTATAAATCCATCGAGATATTAGAAGAGATGCAACCTTGGATAGAACTTGACTTCTTGCAGAAATCTTCAAAATTTTGATCTTATTCCATCAAACTTCTTAAGCATACTAATCCTTTTCTAGGTCATACTTTTAAAAGCAAAACTCCCTTCATTTGATTATGTGATTGATCTACTTGCTTCTTTCAATTGCATAATTTCTTATTATAGGCTTTGAATTACTTTAATAGGCATAGGAATGGTACCTCTATGATTCATATTGAAAATACGTGAAATTTCTATGCTTAAAGTATTGACAAGCTAATAAAGATCTACAATAGTTAAAAAACTATTCTTACTTCCGTTGAGAATAGCATCCACAATCTTTTTTTTTATAGACAACTCGAACAAGTTTAAAAAGTTAAGTTAGAGGGAGATAATTTGCAACCTCTAATATCAATTGAAAATTTCTATAAAGAGGGATAATCCACTCTTTTTAAAGAAAAGATCAATGTTACAAAACAAGATTGTTTGTTTAAAGGTGGATAATCCACAACCTTCAAAATATAATAATAAAAGAAAAAAAATCCACTCACTTTTGAAACAAGATAGAAACTGTAAGTTACTGCTCTTGTCAAACTGTCAAGGACAAGAATCTCAAAAAAATAAATCCTCAATACATTCTTATGATACTAAAAAGAACTAAAAAATCACTCAAAGGTGATATATTATTGAACTAGAATAGCTATTGTCAAAAACAAGAAAACTAGAAAGTCTAGAAACAAGACTAATGACTAGAGTGGCATTGACAATACTGAAGAAGGCTTCATTCTTGTCTCCATATATATTCTTAACTAGGAGCTATATGGCAATGTCCTATAGGACCTTCAAAACATGTTGACTTTGGAAGACACATATCTTAACTTCCAAGACAATTTTTTTATATGTGTGCTTCATAATTAGCTTGTTTTACAAGCTACCAATATGTAATTAACTTATTGACCAAATTTCTAATCTATCAATCAACTACAAAATACATATAAAGTCAAAGAAATGTCTATGAAGCTTCTAGAAAGCTTCTCTAGAAGGTAGTATGAAATTAATTTATTTTTATCTATTTTTACCTACTTCTATCTAATCATATAGGTATTTACTAGAATACCTATATATATATCCATGATACCAAAGCATGCCTTATTAAGGCCGAAATGACATTTTTTGATCATGTACTTGTTTTTCCCAACCAACTGAGAAGTGCAAGCTTATACATTCTTGCTTGTAGTTTTATGGACATAACTTTTGTTGTTTATTATAAAAGTTTTTTTTTTTTTTTTTTTTTTTTTTTTGAATAAAGTGGCATCTTCTTTGTTTGATTTGACCACATCTCTTAGCTTTTTGTTTGAACTCTTGTTGATAAAAATAATCTATCTTTTTTACAAAGCATCAAATTATTTTATTGTTAGATTAATCTTGTACTAGATATAACATATTGTCAGACATTTTTATATGATATGGAATTCAAATCTTTGCCACTCAAGAATGTTGTATGCATAGTCAAATTATGTAGAAGTTAAATTTCAACTAAAGCAAACATGGCAACTATAGGATTATTATAGGTTGTATTTATTGATATGCTTGGAGATCTCTAGGCATTGCTTCTTGAGGGTAGATTGAAAAAAATTGATAGATCTATAGTTGCAATTATCCTCAAGTTCATGATCTCCTTTGCAAAAAGAGTGTAGTGCAACACTAGTAAAGATTAGGATCTTTTAGCAAACACTAAGGTCATGGTGGATAAGTAAATAAAGACAATTATCACCAAGGACAAAATCTTTTACAACAAAGAAAATAATAAATTGAAGAAGAAATTTGTGATGAACATGGAATCAATACCAATGTGGTTCTAACCATGCATAGAGATACAAAAGAAGTCAAAGACTAAAAATAAGTCATTATTTAACATGTTTATTAGTAGAAATATATCAAAGATCATAAATTGGTGTCATAGATATATACCTAATATAATTATTATCTAAGTAGATAGAATTAAAT